AATAAATAACCACCACTTTTCTTCTTGAAAAGTAGTGCAAACTTGTACTATTACATCATTATCAACATACAATACTAATGGAAAATTGTCTCAAAACATGTTATTGTTCATCAAGATGATTACTGGTACAATTTATCGTCCAGCAAAATGTGTTACTGTGACACTTGGTACTTGTTTTCTTTGTGTTAAAAAAACATTCAGAAATAAATGAATGAATAAATAAATGAATAAATAATAAGAAATACATTTAGGGATGCGCCTCATCATCCAGTGAGAAATGTTCCATAATGATGTTTCCCTTAATTAGTCCTGAATACTTGTGTGTTTCATTCTTTTAACTCATTTCAAACAAGAACGCAAACAGCTGAACATGAAACAAGTCTTTATCTGATGCAAAATGTGCGACAGTTCCTTTTGAGATAAAAACATTTACTGATAATGCTATATTTACAGTCTGAACATGCACAAACAGCCATCCACTTCTCAGTAGGCGCAGCACTGTTTACAGCAGCAGCATTAAAACTTTCAGCTCTGTTTGTCATTTCTGTTTAATTAAACAGGAATGATTATCAAGCGTGAATGTTGGAAAAGCAGGTATGAGATCAGTGTTTCAGCTTAAACCTAGAGAGATAGCGCAGCTTAACCTCAGCTTTACTTATAACTATTAAAAACTTTCAGCTCAGAGATTAAAAAGAAAGCAGAAATGATTATTAGACACAGACTGCAGCTTCATTTAACACTGAACATTTGAGGGGAAATATTGGTTTCATTTCCTCACATGAGCAGAATTTCTGCAGAATGAGCAGCCATCTATTTTGAATTTAACATCTGCATCCAAACAGCCTTTGAAGAGGAACCAGCCCTCAGCACCACAGATCCTCCACCGTGTGAACAAGAGGCACAAAGGGATTTTACAAACATTTCGTCCTGAAGCTGCTGGGAAACTTATCATAGCCGTTTTGGATCAAAACACAGTGCTTCAGTTACAGTTCCTGCAGTGTTTAGAAAACTCCACTTATGTACACTTGTAACTTAATGACAAAAAAGACTTGGATTTTTTTTGGGCATGAATGCAGCATCCAGTAGTTTCTGTAAAATCTTCATAACCAACATGCCGCTCTGTGCTGTAGTTCTTGAACAATAAGTTTTGGAGATATTTAATTTTGAAGTTCTCGTAGCTTTCATCCGACTGTGAGCAAGATAAACTTGGGTTCTCGTCCAGCTCAGTGGCTGGTAGCTGAGGAACTGGGCCTTTGTGTTTATACCCTTGGGAAACAGACAGTCCTGGATGGAGGACATCAGAGGGGAGACAAGATGGAGGCCTCTGATGATCTTTAAGAGGCACAGCAAAATCATAAGCAACAGAATTCTGAGTTTTATGATGCTGCTGAGGCCAGGAGTAAGGACCAAAACAATGACACCAGATTAATTAAATACATAAATGTTACAAGGCATTAAATCTGGTCCCAATGCATTTTCATAAAAGTGGAAACAACATGTTAGGTGGAATGGATCATGTCTGTAAAAGAGGAAACCCTGACCATGAAGCCATATGTTAAAGGTTACACTGTAGGGGAATGTTTATAAGCTTACAGCATATTTAGTCCATATTATGAGGATATATTTAAAATGCTGCCTATTTATTTCTGTACTTTGCTGCAACATAGCTTTTCACATTCTGTCAGACATAATCAGTTATTCCTGAAAATCAAAATTTATTTTAAGCATCCTCTGAATTTTGGTTTTTGAAATTAGTTTTATGTTGGTTGAGATGAAGGCAGAAATACGACTAACTTTTATGCTGACATTGAGCTTTTTTTCTTCATAAATGAAAAGGAAATATCACAAAAGCCGAACGTGTGACCTACAATCGTATCCATCACATATTCAATGAAGCCAGCTAACATGTTCACTCTGTTAAGTGCAAATCGTTGTTGATGCAATATGTTCTTGCTTGATAACTTTGAATGAGGAGCAATATTCATGAGCCTGAACATAATTTGCTCTCTCAGGCATTGTTTTGTAAAAGTTCTCAGTACAAAGGTGACGAAATATGAACTGTAAGCTTTACTGATGCAGGAAGTCAGACAGGTAGAACATTCTCTGCAGATAGAGACAGGGAGGTGAGAAGACAGGAAGACTGGTGACAATCACACGGCACAAACACAGCAGAGGTCAATGCTATCACTGAAACGAGCCGTTATTTCGTAGCATTTCATCATCATCATCATCTATCTCAGTCGTTTGTGCTCTTTCCCTCTTTCATGGCAGGATTTCTCATTGATGACAAAGCCATTTATGTCTTTCGTTTGTGCCTCCGCCACCTTTCCCTCGTGGTTTCTTCCTTATCCTCCTTGCTATTTATGATTCCTCTGTTTGCTTTCACACACTTTCTCTCATCTCATTCTCAATTTGCATCTTTTATTTCAGTCTTTTTGTCTTCCGATGCTGCGTACCCAGCATACATCTTTGCTATTTTTTGCCTCTCTCACTCGTCTGCGTCGCTCGTCCTCCTCTTTCTCTCTTACATCATTTTCTGCTCTTAACACCTGAGCCTCTCTGTTTTACTCTTCATCGCTATTATGTTATTCTCTTTTGATTGTAATTCTGTGCACGCTTCAACTTATTTTCTTACTTTACTTTGAACAGTTATCATTCTCACTAGATGCCAGGCTTGTTTCTTCCCTTACTTCCTCCAGCTGGTATCTTTCGTCCTTCTTCATTTCCATTCCCTCCATACATTTTACCTCCTTCCTTCAAATCTCATTCTAATTTCCATTTCCCATATTCTTAATCCTTCCTTCCTACTACTGCTTTTCATCCTGTGGTTTTGCATCATCCTTCCCACCTCAGCTGAGTTCTATTTCCTTCTCATCTGCCCGGCCCCATTTTTGCAATATTTGAAACCTCATGTTTCCATGTGTAATTTTTTCTTTTGCTCCTTTATTTCACCAATTTCACCAGTATTTGCTGTATTTTTTAAATGTTCTTCATTGTTACAAGGACCTCCTGTTGGAGTAACACAATTTCAAGATTGTATTTTCTAATTTATTTTTGATGTATTTATTTATGGTGACAAGAGATGATGTAATGACCTTCGTTTGACATGTGATATGTTCCAAACGTTTTGTGTGAATGTTATGTTGTTATTGTTGCTGTTTTGTCTTACATATCTTTTACAACATTGATGATAACATTCCGCCGATTTACATTCCACTTTCCTCCAATACGCTAAATGTGAACTGTGATACAGACTTGACCAAAAAAAAAAAACATTAAAATTGAAATAAAACAACTTTTCCGATTGTCTATAGATTTTAGTTTTGAGCTCCGTCTCAACCAAACATGACTTTTAATACTCTGAATGTTTGCACAACACATGACTGATATAGGTGTTTATTTTTTTATCTCTTGAGCTGAGCAGTAAAAAGTCTCCTTAAAAGGTCATGGTAACCCAGCAGATTGGCGTTGATGTTAATGAAGCAGATCGACAGCAGGCCGCAACAGTCTGCACTTTAAACAATCTGGCAGCCGCAAAAAAAAACATCTGTCGCTAAAATGAAACATGTATTAGTGCTATTGAGGAGAATCCCACATCTGTTTTACTCTTAGAAATTTTATTTTTGCTTTGAATCTGCTGTCATGTTGTTTCTTCATGTACGGCAGTGTATCTAAAAACCTGAATCTAAACTTGAAATGCATTTAGTAAAAACATGATATGTCTCATCTATGAAGTATCTGTTTCCTACTGTACAACATTCTCGTGTTTTACGAGAACAGAGAAAAGACTGTTCAGTGGACTGTTGTGGTCAAATAATTAGCAATAATTAGTTCAGATGGAGCTGTTTAAGCTCATACAGTAAGTTCAACTTCGCCAGTGCAGACAGAGTGTCTGCATTCCAGGTAGTGTCATCACTGAATCATTACATTGACATTTGAGAAGCACTTCAGTAGATTCAGTAGCAGTGACATGTATGGATTTTCAGGGTGGTGACATTTACAAAATAAATGTGTGACAGTCCGCTTGGGTGAAACTGTGTATGCTACAGTTCAACACAGGTCAAAACTTAAACTTTCAAAGTAAACGCATCGTAAAACCTGCAGCAGGTATGAGATCCAGAGAATAGCAATTCCTTAGCAATTCATAAGGCACATTTGTAGTTCTTGAGCCTATTAAATCCTCCTTTTCAAAGTAATTTTGTAAATGTCTTCATTGAGTTGCTCATGAAAAACACTAGTTGAGTTTATTCGTTTAGTTATGGCTGCTGCACATTGGGATTGTGCAATAAAATGCAGATTCAGAAAATTGATGGAAAATTTTGCCCAACATGGCAAAAATATTAATTTTCTGTTTAACTTTTCAACAATAAAACAAGATGATTCATGTTTGTTTATTTCTGCTTGAATAAGAATTTCCTTTAAAACTGATTTAAAAAAACAGTAAAAAAAAAAAAAAAAAATTAAAAAATCTGAACCAGTTCTGTGACATGGCCATGTCTCTCTCAAGCCTCTAAAGCTTTAAATTCAGGTCTTGTTTAGGCATCTGTGCTTAATAAATTTCTGATCGACCTCCCAGGTCTTGTAAACAGAATCTGTTAGTTGTTCTTTGCTGAAATGGGGGACTGAGAGTTTGCTGACTTCAGTTGAAGGCTGCAGAATGTTGTGTCCTCTGGGAGTCAGGTCAGCAAACTCTCTCGGGTGTTTAAAGGAGCTACAAGGCTCACTGTTCTGCTTCACATCGTGTTTGTTTTTAAAAGGTTGTTCAGTCTTAAACTGTTTGGGTTGCTTTTGAACTCTTCTCAGCCCATGTAATGAAATATGTTGCTTTACACAAGTAATAAAATCCATTCATTTGATATTTTGGGAAAACACGCTGAACATCGACGGACTAAAATACCTTATCCAACAAAAGAAATGCTCACATAACAGCTCTTAAATCTTCCTTAGCAAGTCATAAGGCACATTTGTAATTATTGATACCTTGCTCTCCTTGTCCTCAGCTCTGAGAGATAACCGCATCCAGCTGCACCGCTCCACTCCCACGGAGCTTTCCATCAACATCTCCGACGTGCAGCTGTCTGACGAGGGGAGTACACCTGCTCCATCTTCACCATGCCGGTCCGCACGGCCCGGGCGACCGTCACAGTTCTAGGTGGGTCACGCAAACGCCACAACAGCACGGCTTTCGCCGCACCACATCGGCAGACAAACTGTCATCTCGATTTGGACGTTGTAACTTTTTAATGCGGGCTTAAAATAAACCCTGCAGCTGTGTGTCAGGCATATTTTAATATCAACTCAAGCAGAAAGAAAAATGAAAGGTATGTGTGTCTATGTGTCTCATAAAACGCTTTCAGAATTAAGTAGGATTTTTGGTCAAAGACAGCCTTTTCTTCTTTCTGGCTTTTGGTAGAACTCGTATCTGTCAGTCTTCTGTCCATCTTGGTAATTCCTCTCTGGGAAGTTTATATTAAGGTGTCTTCCTTTTTCCTTTTTGCCTTGACTAGCTCCCAAGATGAGGTATTCTGAAAATGCTGCTTTGTTCCCTTTGCACTGACAGTCTTGCTTGCCTGGTCAGTCATCAATCTCCTTTGAGACTGACTAACATTTGTACAAACCAGCTTGCCGGTGGTCTGTGTTAATTTCTCTCCTACGCCTTTTGGAATTTTGACAAATTTAATTGTACGACTCGAGACTTTTGGCACTTTTAAAAAAAAAAAATTCTCCATGGGGTTCCTGTTGTTCCTGACGATGAAAAAGTAATTACTTTTGTTGGACTGCAGGGTGAAAATAAAGGCTGATCAGGTTGCAGAAGTTTAACACGAACTGTCTAACTGACTCGAAATGCCCTTGATGCACCGCTGGGATATTTATCCCACTGAGCTTCAGATCCAAGTTCAGTTTAACCCTGCTGGCAGCGTTTGTTTTTGCAACTTATAAAAAAAGTATTTATACTTTAGCCATTTAGTGCTGAGTTTCTATAAAATTAGAAGACAAATTCTTGACATCATCGCAGTTAGGCAGAAATATCTTAAAGTTTAAGTCTGTGCAAAAACACTGAAGCTCACATGATGCAACTTTATTTTCATTAGACTCGGATAATTGGAGTTTTTATGAAACTACTTTCAGTAACATATTAGAAAACATCATAGAAAGCACAAGTTTTCCTTGCAGACTTGCATTGTCTCAGAGCTCCATATCCGTCCAGTTTGATGCTGATCCTTGTTTATGTTGTTAACCTCTGAGCAAGGCTACGACCTCACACAACTCTCTGGTAAAGATAAGCAGTTCCATTCATCCTCAGTGAGATGAATGTTATTTCCTATTTGTGATGCGTCCTGTAGCAGGCAATAAATTGGGTCACCATGGCAGCAGAGAATGTGCCTGCTCATTGGACATTGCACTAATTGCCCCCATCCCTCTACAAATAGTCTTTATCATATTGATATTGATTTGTAAAGTTGTTGTTGTTTCAGTGGCTGCATTTTATTGTTTTGTTAAGAACAAAGAAAAGGCTGCAATGCAACGGTTAATGGCTTTAAAGTACAACCACAATGGAGACTTGGAGTTGGAGAGCAAAACACGATTGTGCTGGTATTCTGGAGAGGCTGCGGTGGGCTTGTTTACAATCAACAGGACTTACTAATGTCTCACACCATCCTGAGCTAATTTGACTCCTCGCTAATTGTTTTTCACTAATGTATATTTTGCCCACATATTTCTAACTATCAGTTTATCTGTCTGGGAATTGATAAACAACAAATTCAAGAGTACAATATTTTAGAGCTTTTGTAGAGTTTAATCAGAACTATTGAACAAGGATGAGTTTTCATAAACAGAAAAATGGGTACCGTACAAGCAACAATTGCAAAAGTACAAAATGATGGAGTGACAAAATGACTAACAGTTGTGTCTGCATGTTAAAAAACTGACAATAGCCACACGAGTCCTGTTCAATCAGAAATCATAAACATGATTCAGTTTGCTTGTGTCTGAAATCCGAGACCGAAAACCTTCCTTTCAGACGGCCACAAACTACTCAACACATTTATGTTTTTATATCTCTAATGTTCCAATTGACATCAAATTCATAAGCAAATGTCAGTAATAACCCAATTTAACCACAACTACAATAAATCAACACAAATTATTCCATAAGTTAAGTTGCAGAATGAAGATGAATGAGTGATAAAATGAGTAAACGGATGTAAAAATGTGCTGAGAGCTCAGAAAATTTGAAACCTGCCAGTAGTTAGAAAGCAGTCCTTCCTGTAGGGGCAAATTATTTTTAGCCAGTTTAATCGTGATGACGATGAAAAAGATTTTCACTACAAAGGTTTTCCATAATGAGCTTCAGATGATGTGTAAAAGCAAAGAGTTCCTAAAAAGTTTGCAACCTTATGATAAAACTTATTCTTTGTCATTCGTCTTTGATGTAATTATTTCTTTATTTATTTGTGTAGATTTCTTCATATGTGTGGATTTCCTGGGTTTTAACTAACAGCCTGTGCACATTTCATGTCAATAATTACATACTTTTAAATTTAACGGAGGACTCTTCGTGTTCGTTTAACTTTATGTTAACTTCTGTTTAAATAAGAAGAATGTTTAAAACTCCAAGTTCGTTTGTGAAAAATAAAAGTTTCATTTGTGTTTTCTGCTATGAAAGTAGCCAAGAAGTTCTTGGATGATGACCAGAGCTCCCAATGATTTCTGCCTCATCTTTTTTGGAAACTGCTCCAAGTAGAAAGCAAGAAATGCTTGAATTAAAACGTTGAGGGTGGAGCGGGATGGCTTACGATTGCATGGCTGCTCTGTTGCTTGAAAAACGCCAAAGGGCTTCTCTCAAATTTAGCGTTATTCATTCGGGATTGGCGGAAGCATTCTCGAACATTCATTTACTCAGATTGCTTTGCGGTGATGCAGGGTTTAATGAGGGAATTAAACGTAGTTGCCCTGGACAGCATTGGGAGCAGTAGCCAAAAGAAATGTTAAGTTGATATTTAATAAAAAGGATGAGAAGTGAAGCCTGGTTTGCCTCTGTTATTTTACATTAACATGAGAAACACTCCTTTCTGTTTCATTTCATATTCTTGTAATTGTGACTCAAGCTATTTTTTTCTTAATTCACTGTAGTTGACAGCTGTGGCACTGTATTCTGCGTTTCCTAAATATTTCATGACCCCCGAGAGAGAGCTGGCCCATTAAAAATGTATACTAAAATGTTGAAAACACACGAATCTCCATGGGAAAATTGAGCAGAGATGTGGAGGGTTTTGGCAGAGCTTTGTTTGTTTGTGTGTATTTCAACCTTGTTTTGACGTGAATGATTTGACTCCTGCACACACAATTACACATCCAGACACAACTGCTGAGTATGGCCAGTTTAAAGGACTGCGTCGTTGAGTTCAAAATCTGTGTCATACCTGTGCTCTGTTCTGAAAATAATTTATAGGGGCTTTATTCTCTTTCTGTGAATGTAAGGGAAGAGTCTCAACACGACTTTTCTGGCCAGTTCTATGCGGGCAGGATTATTCCCTCATTAATATTCAATGCTACTTTTTGCAAGGGAGCTTCCGCACATAGAGCACTACATCAAATTGGTGGTACAT